TTCTCCATGGTCTTTCACCCCTGATGTTCTCAACTTTTATAGGCCTGGGAATTCACCAGATTATAAAGCCAGGTGATTGGATGCCTATCTGGTTACTCGGAGTGCCTATCTCATTGCTCAGGGTGTGAACTATCTTAATGAACTCCCTCACCCGCCAGGCCTGCCGGAATGAACCTCACCTCTATTTAATCAGTCTTTCTTATAGAAAGGCCACAAAATGCTGCGGCTCCCAGGTTCCAATCACCACCCGATGATAACTACCATGTCAGAAGTCCCACTATTAAGGGACATTACTTTCCTACCTAAACCTATTATTTGGGGGTAGGGGGACAGTTATAATGCTAACAAGGTTATTTCAGGCCCATGGCTTTTAAAAAGTAAATTGCTTTCAAATAAATTCAAATACACACACAAATAGAGCAAATAGAATAAAACTCAGACATGATTCACTAATATCAGACTTTTGCTACCTATTTCATCTATCTCTCTGGTCTCATTTTGTTGAACTCAAGTAAATCTCAAACATAATTTAATTTCATCCTTATGTACTTCAGTACATACCCATCTTTGTATAGATATTTTCTTATATCATAATACCTAACAAAATGAGTAACTCAGACTCCACAAATTCCCGATTGCTTCAAAGATCCCTTTTTCAGACTGTTTTTTCATATCAGGATCTAAACACGGTCCATTTGTTATAGTTGGTGATTGTTACCTCTACAAGTCTTTCTGAATCTAGAACTAGAGCCACTTCCTCATTTTAATTTTATTTCTATTATTAAATTTTTATTTGATTGACTTTAGAGAGAAGAAGGGAGGGAGGGAGAGTGAGAAACATCGATGTGAGATAGAAACATCGATCAGTTGCCTTCCGAACGTGCCCCAACTGGGGATCAAACTCACCACCCAGGCTCTGACTGGAAATTGAACCCGCCACCTTCGGGTGTACCAGAAGATGCTCCAACCAACTGAGCCACACCGGCCAGGGCTGTCGCCTGTGTTCTGCCTGGGCCACCTGGCATAAGCTACAAAGCAATCTACAGATGGCTGCTTCTTGCGCTGAGCTTGAAGATGCCCAGGTTCTTCTTGGTTCAATCTATGAACCAAGGCCCGCTGCTGCTAGTGCCAGGCCTGGGGCCACTTAGCTGGAGGTACAGGGCTCACTGAGGCAGATGCTGCTTGAGAGGTTTTAGGAAAATCTGAAGCATGAGCCAAGATAGGCCATTCCTATGGAAACGCCACTGGGAACAGCTTGAGTGGGCCTGAAAGTGGGGTGGGGTGGGGTCTCGGGGAATCACCAGGGTGGGCTAAACTGTGCACCAGGCTGATTCGGTCTCAGATATGCTGACACTCTGGGGGGGAAGGGCTCATAAAGGAACAATGGCTTCTGTCAGCACTTCTGGGAGAAAGCTGCCCCTCCAGCTCTCGTCCCCATGCCAGACAATTCAGTTCCTCCCCATGTCTCTGGTGCCTTTCCAACCGTTGCCCCCATACTGGAGCTCAGAGGGAGCGAGTCTGAGTTAAGTCCACGTACAAGCCCCTTAAGAGGAACCGCCTGGGACTCCAGCAGCCTCTGTCTCTCTCAGTCTCAATCCCACTGGTTTTTATAGCCAGAAGTTACGGTGACTTCTCTGGCACTGGAAACCTGGGCCGGGGGTCTTGGTGTGGGGCTCGGGCCCCTCACCCTCATGGGGGACTTGCACAGCCGAGGGATCCCTCCCGGTTTTTACCCGCCACATGTCGGTGTGGGACCGGTCCTTCTGCGTCTCGCCTCCTCGCAGTCTTGATGTGGCTTCAATTTCGTAGCTGCAGGCCTTCCATTCAGCTTGATTTCGGGTGATTCTGAATGATGGTCATTCTGTAGTTTAGTTGTAATTTTACATGATTGTGGGAGGAGGTGAGTACTGGTTTACCTATGCCACCATCTTGACCAGAAGTCCTCCCCTTTTTAAAATTCAAGCCATTCACTTGTTGAAGAACTTGGATCAGTTTTCCTACAAAATGACCTATTATCCCAATATTTGCTTTTTCATGGTATAATTTGCTTCCCTCCCTATTTCCTATAAATGAGAGTCTCAAGGCTTTTCTTTTTACATATTATCTTCATGTAAACCAGAAAACAGAAAATTATTTGAAGGACAATTTCCTCAATTCTCCCAAGTATGGTACATAACTAGTACCATTCTAAGTTACTCAAAGTTAATTTATTACAAACAATGGATTCCTTAGGGCAGTGGGACTTAATTTTGTTGCAGACCCAGATGAAAACTGCTTAAAGGTGTGATTATAGGAGTTTCAACTTTTGGAGGGGCAAAAGTACTTCAGAGAAGGCACTGCATGCTTCACACTGCTCCACATCAGGAGGCACAATGTCTGCTTCTCTCACTTCCAGTGATGTGAGGATGGATGTGGGTTCAGAGGATGACAATGTCTAATAGTTTTATCCACTAGTGATTGCTGTAGGAGTTTTGGGGGGGAGGAAGGAACCTAAGGCAAGAGTTGAGTGTTAACTCCTATCAAGGGTGACCTCATCTTAGGGGCCTGGAAGGAATGACAGCTCATGCAATATAACACCAACCTGTCTTAATCAAAAGGAATCCACTGGCCTTCTGACATACCCCTCCAACAGTGGTGCGTAATACCAAGAACAATACCAGAGACAGACCGTTCATTTATACCTTGAGAGCTTTAAAAACCATATTCAGTCAACATATTCAATCTTTCACCTGTAAGACTGGGCCTAACAGGTGAGGAAAACATTTGGTTTTATCCTAATATTTCCAATCTTCCAAATCTTTTTCTTCTGAGAAGCATGAAAAAATACCCAAGATGGGACACAAAGAAAATAATCTATGCTCACTACACTTAGAGGAAAACGAAAAGAAACATTTTGCTTCCAAAAACAGAATCGAAATAAATAAACACAGAAAAGTAATAACTGCTACCTCCTTTATCAGACCTTATATAGTTAGACGAGATAAGAGCAGCAGTTTCTAGACTCTTCACCCCCTGGGTAATAAAAAAAGTTGGCAACCACCCTGGCCAGTATGGCTCAGTTGGTTGGAGCACTGACCCATGCATTAAAAGGCTGCAGGTTTGATTCCCAGTCAGGGACATACCCAGGTTGCAGGTTTGATCCCAGGTTGGGGCCTGTGAGGGAGGCAACCGATGAATGCTTCCTCCCCCCCACCACCCCTTTTTCTCTCTAAAAAAAAGATGACAGTCTTATTAATGCCCATCATAAAAGGCAAGGGTGAGGCCTGGACAAGTAAGTAATAAACTGGAACAATGCAAGGGAGAGAACACACAGTTGACTAAATTAAAGCAATTGGCGCAAGCTGTTTTAGGTTGGACGGTGCAGGAAAATATGTATGTCGTGAACCAGCGTTCTGATGTTTATTGTTGCAGGAAAACTACTACATGAACATCCTCTGCCACCACAATCATTCTGTTGGATAGAGACCTCGAAGTGGGATTGCTGGATCACGCAGGCACCTCTTAAGGTGACAAAAGTGTTCTAAACTTTGATAGTGGTGATAGTTGCAACAACCCTAGAATATACTAAAAACCATTGAATTGCACATTTCAAAAAGGTGAATCAGATGGTACATGAATTNGATATTGATGACCCAGCAAAGGAATATATAAACTTTCTGTATAAAGAAAGAAGAAGAAAAAAGGAGAGTTTAACATCTAGCACTTCTCCAGGGGACATATTATTTCTTTTTTATAATGCATTAGAGAGTAATAAAACACATATGTAGTAGCCTCATGTAAACTGAGAGCTCTTCCTACAAATATTTTGATTAATATAGCAAATATTTTGATTAATGTAATGAAAGAAAATAAACAAACTTTAACACCTTGTTTATGAAATATTAGCAACAAAAATGGTATTTAATATGAATTTAAGGCAATTGAAATTTTAAAATAATAATGTAACTCAAATTTCCTAAGACATTAAGAGTCTGTGGGTGGTAATGATTTCATATTACTACTTATATCCTAAATCAGAAACAGGTGGCCACTGCTGTTTTGCTGCTAATTTTCTGATGATCATCTAGTCCATATCTTGGACAAAAGAGTTTCCACTGCTACTCTGTCATTACTACTTTGCAAAAGATCACTTTTCCCAGAGTGCTGCATCTCAGGACCAACCTGCAAAACATTTACAAAACTAAAAATAGTGCTTAATTTCTTTTAGTATTTACAACTCTGGGGTCACCCTCTGTTCAGCTGAAATAGGTTTCTCTCCATAGACCTCTAGATTCATAGGATCATGATGTCAGGGTAGTCTTTGTATAATATACATATACATATGCATATATATTTTTTTTTAATATATCTTTATTGATTTCAGAGAGAGGAAAGGAGGGGGAGAGAGAGAGATGGAAACATCAATGATAAGAGAGTCATTGATCGGCTGCCTAGCCCGCAACCCGGGCATGTGCCCTGACCAGGAACCGAACCCCAATAGCCTGGGTCCTAGGTCGACACTCAACCACTGAGCCACGTCCAGCCGGGCATGAATTGTATCTTAATAAAGCTGTTAAAAAAAACACCCACTCTTAAAGGCAGAATCAAAGATATAGTTCCTTAAGGATTCTGACTGAACTGGACAATGAATCTGGTTAAATAACCAATAAATCTTGTCACGCGGGTAATTGTGACTCTTATTTTCAATGTCCTGGCTAGGTGTTTAGGTGTTTTTGAGACATAATCTAAGTGCCTCTTCAACGCTGATCATTAGAGAAAGGATGAAAAAGAAACTGCTGGTATGTTTTTAATTCATAATATTAAACCTTTTCATATTTTATGTCAGAAAGCACTGCAAAGAAATAACAAATTCATACTAACTATAGCAATTTTTATTTCATCTGCTCTGAAGGTATGCCATTCACCAAATTTTTAAAAGATTGGGAACTAAGGCAGGATTTTACTCACTCGGACCTCAGACTCACTTTTTGAAATGTCACTCACAATTATTCACACAGAAGATGCTGAAACGACAGAGGGTTTATTTTCCATTTTTTGGCAATGAAAATTATAAAATTAAAAAGGGTTTTGTCCAATGTCACTGAATGGGGAAACGGGTAATAAGTTAAAAAAAGAGAGAAGAGATTTTTGAGGGGGAAAAGTGCATCAAATTCAAATTCTTCTCATCTCTAACTGTTAAACGCAACTAGAAAAGCAAACAGCAATCTAGATGGCCACTGATGCGCAGAAACCCATTTCATCATCATCTTTTCCGCTTCATCCAGACATTTTCAATTTTGCCAAGATTCAAAGGTACAGTTTTGGAAAAACAATAAATGAGATAATCACAAAGATTTCTCATGATCTCTTCTGATCAGAGCAGAGCAAAGTAAGATAAACCTCACTGGTCTGACTGATCATTTTTAAAACAGACTCCACATGGTTCAAGCAAAGAGACAAGTTTGGAAGTCAACTTTCCATCAAGGTCCCAAGGAGACTGAAACACCGGCTCCAATCTAATTGTAGAGACAGTTGTTACGTGGGGCTTTCTTTCCAGATTACACATCTTACACACTTTAACAGCTTTACCTAAATAATCTCTCAGAGAGTCGATTTTAAGTGAAGGCTGAAATACTAACAGTTGATTTCACATTCTTATTATACATTTTTCATAGTCCGTCTGTGTGCAGAAGCAAAATTATGAATGGCGGCTCGAAGAGCTGAGTTCCCCTCAGGGGTATCACAGGAATTAATGACTGAATGCAGTGCCCGGGTATATGCTGCAAATAAAGGTTTGGACAGTGATGAATGAAGTCACAGTCTACACAACTCTCCCAACCTCTTTCCTATTACTACTGCTCCTCTACCTAGTCTCAAAGGTATTAACTTTAACCATCCATTGAATAAATATTTACTGAGTACTTACTATATGCCAAGCACCCCGAGAGGATGGAAAAGATAAGGGAGAGGACAGACAAAAATAACTGCAGTGCAATACCTCTAAACCGGAGACATACATAAAATGTCACCACATAATGAAGTTCGGAGTGAATTAAAACTATCCGAGAGAGGATGGAAAAGATCTCCAGAAGTAGACATTTAAGGTGGTCTTGAAGGTTTAACCAGAGTAAAGGAAAGAAGACATTCTAGGCAGGGAAATCAATGTGTGAGGTGCCAAAGGTGTAACAAAAAATGTGACATGTACTGGTGTGTGACAATAGCGTGTTAGATGAGGCTGACGTCCTGCCTCGGGCCAGAGAGAAAATATGCCAAATATGCCATGCGCTTTGTACTGTAAAAACCTAGAGATTTGAGAACAGGGGAATGGTAGCATCAGATCTGTGTTTTTAAAATATAACTCACAGAACTGATAAGAAACTCCTGTCACAAGGATGAGGCACTTGGAATACAAATACTTGCAATATTTTCAGCGTGTGCATCAAGCCTACATAACCTCCACATTATGTAAACCAAGCATCTAAGGATGGACAGGAAACAGAAACATTAGTGACAACAGGAAGGACTCCATTTCTCTAGCTGGGATTCCTGGGAAAGACAGGGTTTATACCAGTCCCTGTTCCTCAGTGTCCCCTGGCAACCTGGCAGTCTAATGCGGGTATGTGTGGTAAGTCTGTGTTAGATAACATTAAATAAAGTATTTGGATAAAAGGGAATTCAACTAGGCAGAGGCCTAACTTCATGGCCACTGGCAAGCTCTACTATTCTTCATTTCCAGGAGAACCCGGAACCCGCCTTCCTACAGTGGAGTAAGCTGGAAACATTTCCCCAGCATAAACGGAGAAAAGACGACAACAGATCTCAAAGAGAAACATAACTCACTATAACCTATTTTTACTGCCTCAGAGATGCTTTGTAAAGGGGTTATAACAGTCTCTGATACATAGTAAGCACTCAATAATGCTAAATTACTACAATCACTACTTTTCAATAAACTGCCACCAGGCCCCAACCATTCCTTTAAGAAACTTACCTTTGGGGTTTTTATAGAAAATACAGTTGTTGGCACAGGTATCAGGATGAGCATCCCAGAAGTCAGGGCCGCAGCAGCACAGCGGAGGTAAAGTGATATTGTACAGCCGCATTTTCTCCTGGATCTGGGCCCTTAACGCTTCTACGTACCTGCGGACACACAGCGATCGGTGAGCACTGGGAGGGGGGGCGCCCTCATCTCCCTGCCCCCGCGGCTGTCACAGCCCGCACCCGTGCCGTCCGCCTCTCTGCCTCGGAGGGCAGCACTAGGACGAGCGGGGTCCCGAGAAAGACCTGGCGAGGCTGTGCCCCAAGTACGAAAGGCACGGTCAGCTCCCGTAGGAGAAGAACAGACTTGCCGACGTCTCTTCTGGACGCCGCCGCTCAGGCAGCGCTTCCCGGGTACCTCTGGCGCTCCTTCGCTCTCCGCCGCTCTCTCTCTCCGGCCCCCTTCGCTTCCTCGAGCCGCAGCCGGGCTAACATCTCGCTGATCTTCTCCCCCGAATAATGCTCTTCAGGGAGGCTCGTTCTTAACATCCTCTGCTCTTCGGCACGGCGCTGCTGCTCTTTCTTTTCCTTAATTCTGAGAATAAAATCATAATATGGTTAGGAATTTTATAAAATCATTATTTAAAATCAGTTTCTAGGCCCAACTAACTCAAGAAATTCCCAGAACTAAGGAGTCAGAAAATCAGTTCCACACCCTAGAACGGCTTCAAACACTCCTGCTGGCTGACCTGAGGGGACCTGCAGCTCGGTATCTGTAGAGAGGCCTCTCAAATGGAAATGACTAGCGGTTACTATCAAGAGCTTTCCCGGAAGAATCCAAGTACAAGAGCTTTCTCGGGTTAAAACTACAAGTAGACAGGACTTCTGTTTTTGGCAGAAATGGAGTTACCGGATCCAGGAACCAGATGTGCCCTCCCATCCTACACAACCAAATATATAAATAACAAGTCAATCAACCAACTAACCAATCAAGCAGGCAAAATACAAAAAATGATAATTTTCAAAATTCTGGACATCAGGCAATGAAAGACAGTGATCCTTGACAGATGGCAAACAAATGAGGGGAGCCCTATAACTGCCCAAGCTGACTGACTTGGAAGTTTCCAGGCAGCAGGATAGGTCAGGGCAGCTGCGGTAGAGCCTAGCGGATTCCCTGAGCTGAGGAGCGGAAGCTGAAAGGCCAGGGACACAAAGGCAACTAGAGTTCACAAGACAATACCAGAGAGGAGAGAGCTGCTCCGAGAGAGAACTCCAGAGGTCCACAGAGGGGTCCTTCAAACACACAACAGAGTACTATGCATGCATGTGAGGCAAGGACCCGAGGCAAGGCCAGAGCCATCTAAAAGTGTGGCAAGGAGCAGCACCTTGTGCTCACGGAGAAGGGCCAGTGCCTGTCCCACCAGTCAGACTTAAAAACTCAGAACGCACAGGGTGCTGGGAGTGTTCAGGAAGACCTACCTCGGTAGTGGGCAGTAACAATTAGTCCTGGACTGAACACTGCTCCAGACACACCTAACAAACGGTAAAAGCAAAGCCTGAGGTAACTTAACTGCATCCAAAAACAAAGCTCAGGAAAGTTTGTAAGAATGCAAAGATATCCAACAACCGACAAAGTAAAATTTGTAACGGTGGACATCTCATCAAAGATGACCCCGCAAGCAAAGAGGAAGGAGTCACACTCTTCATGAAGACAATCATCAACTGAAACCAACACAGAACTGACAGTCATTAGAATCAGCACATAAGAACAAAATACAGAGGCCCAGCTGGTGTGGCTCGGTGGTTGAGTGCCGTCCCGTGCATCAGGAGGCCGCCAGATTGATTCCCAGTCAGGGCACATGCCCGGGCTGCAGGCTCAATCCCCGGGAGGAGGTGTGCAGGAGGCAGCTGATTGATGTTTCTGTCTCTCTCTCCCCTCCTCTCTCTGAAATCAATAAAAACAATTCTTTTTTAAAAATGAAAAGACATGTCACGGGCTAAGAGAAAATTTTTGCAAAGCATATACTGGATAAAGGACTTACATCTACATTAATTTAAAAACTTAAAACTCAACAATAAGACAACTAATTTTAAAATTTGGGTTTGCACAGACATTTCACCAAAAAACAATATACAGATGACAAACACTTGAAAAGATGCTCAAGAGCTTTAGTCCTTCAGGAAATGCAAAATAAGCCACAATAAGATACCGCTACACACCTACATACAAATGGCTAAAGTAAAAAGGACTGACTATATAAAGTATTGGTGAAGGTGTAAGGAAACTTGAACTCTCTGACACTGCTGGTATAATATAAAATGGGATAACCACTTTGGAAAACAGTTTGACAGTTTCTTTACAAAATGAAATTTATACCTATCACATGACCAGGCTTTCCACTCCCAGGTATTTACCCAAGAGAAAAGGTAACATATTTTAAAAGACTTGTACATGACTGTTCATTGCAGCTTTATCTGTAATAGCCAAAAACTGGAAACCCATGAATGGATAAACAAATTGTGGTATATCCATACAATGGAATACTATTCAGTAGCAAAAGGGAATGAACTCTTGATACACACAACAGTAAGGATGAATCTCAAAATAACAATGCTGAGTAAAAGATGCTGAGCACAAGAGTATATATACACTGTGTGATTCTAGAAAATTCAAACTTATCTGTAGTGACCTAAAGCAAACCAGTGGTTGGCTGGGGACAAGGGGGTCAAGGAGGGCAGAAAGGAGGGACTACCAAGGGCACAAGAAACTTTTGAGGATGATGGATATTTTCACTATCTTGACTATGGTAATGGTTTCATGTATATATATGTCAAAACAGCTAAGTTTATACTTTAAATATGTGCAGTTTATTAAATATCAACTCTACTTATTTTAAAAGCCATCTACAAGTAGAGAGGAAATGAGTAGCTCACTGAGAAAATCATAAGAAACTTAAGAGCTTTTGTTAAGAAATATGACTAACTCAGGACTAGAACTTATAAACATATGCTGATAATTTTAGTTGCTAAAAATTACTTTGAAACAAATGAGCTATTGTTTTCTGAACAATAGTATGAGGTCAATTCATACTCATATACCTCTTTAATAAATCACTGACTACTGAAAATTCTGGGCTATCGGTTAATAGCAGCCTAATTACTCCAGGGGTATTAAGGCCCTCCTTTTAGTAAGATTAACACAGGTACACATTAAAACCCAGGACAGTCCTACAAAGGCTAAAAGATCAAGCACTGGAAAAGTACAAGAGACACAATAGCTATGTTGTATGAACAACTAAGTGCATCCAAATTCTGACGGCTAATCACAGGCCACCTCTAGCAGAGTGTTAAGGCTACTTTAAACAAGGGTTTTCTTACAACTGTTCTCCCATGCCTGCTGTTCTTTCCTGAGCTACAGCTGCTTAAATCTAAACTGAGTTTTCCTCAATGAGTATGGAACGTAAACATAGCTTTCACAGGATTCAAATTCATAGGATTCAAATTCAAGTGCAATATAAAGTTGTAATAGGGCAGAGGTGAGAATCCCATTATTGAAACATGGGCAGAGAAATATGCTTTTATACCTGTGAAGATCAAGATGTAAAACATATAAGGCAGTGAATGTGAGAAAGGCAATGTAAGAAGAGGTCAAAACAGGCACATGCTCATTCACAACTGACTTGCAAATAAAAAAAGATTTTTCTGGAGATAATTAATCAAATTGAGGCTTTCATTGGTGAAATTTAAATGGAACCAAGTGAATGACAACAGAAAAGCTAAGTCATTGTTATAATTCTCTATACCAACCACTCTCTATACTAGTAGACTAAGAGCCAAGGAAACAGATCAGCACTGTTTTTCAAATGGTGGCACCTTAGGTCTTAAGAACAGGACAGTTACTACAAATGATGCACTCGGCCCTCCCCCTCCCGGAGCCCGAGCACTCCTCTCCTGTCAAGCATCTCAAGTGTTGTCTAGGCTTTCTGTCTGCGTTTCCCGATATCCTCCTCACCACTCCATGTGGCTTTAAGGCCCAGGATAGCTCCATGAAACAGCTTTCTCTAAGGTCAATGACCTATACAGTTCATTTAATCCATCTAGCACAGCAATTTTCAAACTCTTTCATCTCATGACACACATAAACTAATTACTAAAATTCTGCAGCACACCAAGAAACATATTTTTTGCAGATCTGACAAAAAAAGTAGGTATAATTTTTATTCATTCACAATGGATGGCTATTGTATTGGCTGATCTTGTTTTTTTACTTAACAATCTAAGGGAAAAGAGGTCAGAGCCTCAGACTAAATAGCCAGGTATTGCATGTTTTAAAAATTCTTGCAGCACACTGGTTGAAAATCACTGATCTAACACAAACAGGGACAATACTGTACCCAAAGAAGCAAAAATTGACTCAAGGAAGGAAAAAAATCTTAGATATTAAAATACTTTGTGGCCTTCTAAAGTCACAGCACATGAACAGAAATAGAATATATCTAAGCATTCTCCACTTCTTACTCTATACCTTCTGCCTAAGTGACTTTACCTATGTTTCCTGTTTCAGTTACCATCCACCACCTGTAACTTATAAAGCTACAGCTCCAACATAAACCATTCCCAAGATTCAAACCTATTTAACTACCTGCCAATTTGAAATCTCCACCATAGTGTTTCAATGGTATTTTCTGGGAAAAGAATCCACAGCTTTGGTCAGATTCTCAGGTCAAGAACTACTGCCATATAGTAGTTACAGAAAGGATCATAAAATCAAAAATGACAAAGTTACCTAAAAAAGTTGGTATAAACAATTATTCTAGCCCAGCCGGGCGTGGCTCAGCGGTTGAGCATCGACTTAGGATCCAGGCGATAAGGGTTCAATTCCCAGTCAGGGCACATGTCCGGGTTGCGGGCTCGATCCCCAGTCAAGGGCATGCAGGAGGCAGCCGATCAATGACTCTCTTATCATTGATGTTTCTATCTCTCACTCTCCCTCCCTCTCCTTTCCTCTCTCTGAAATCAATATATATTTAAAAACAAAACAAAAAAACAATTATTCTATAAGTTTTTAATCTTTTCTGATGTTTTTAAGGCGTCTTGCATAAATATACCTTTTACTTATACACAATAGAAACTAAAGTAGGTCAGAAATCAACGTGTCAATATTTCCAGAAACTGACGTGAGTACAATTATAGTGGTTCGCCGGTATGCCAAAGGTATTCTGAAACCACTGTCAGACTTCTAGTAAAAGCGAGTAAGAATTACAAACAAGGTAGGTCCCATAAGACTGCCAGCTGATTTCTCCAAAGGAACTTTGGAGGCCAGAGAGACTGATACAAAATATTCAAGCTGATGAAATGCAAGGACCTACAACCAAGATTATTCTACCCAGCAAGGCTGTCGTTTAGAATCAGAGGAGACATAAAGAACTTCTCAGAAAAGAAAAAACTAACGAAGTTCATTGTCACCAAAACAGTATTACCAGAAATGTTAAATGGACTTCTTTAAGAAGGGAGGGGGCATAATTATAAAGAATAAAATGGCAATAAATACATACCTATCAATAATCACTTTAAATGTAAATGGATTAAATACTC